GGACGCAAGCACCACAAACATCACGAGGACGAGATGAGGCAGAAGTGGGTCGCGTCGCGGCTCGTGCCGATCTCCGCGCGGATGGTCACGGAGCGGCTCGCGTGCGTGCGGGACGGGGCGGCGGGCGAGTACGTGCGCGTCTTCGTGAACGACGAGCTGCAGCCGCTCGAGTTCTGCGGGGCGGGGAAGGGCGGGATCTGCGCCCTCGAGGCCTTCGTGGAGAGCCAGGGGTATGCGCGGAGGAGCGGGGACGGGGACTTCGAGAGGTGTTACGACTGAGCCGCGGGCAGAGCGTGCTGAGTTGCGTACGTGTTTATCCGTTTGCGCGCACGAGATGGGGGAGGGGACGGGTCCCTGCTTCCTGTGTATGAGTATCGGTTTCCTGAATATGGCAGTGCTGCATATTCGTCTTGGCCACGGCTGCAGCTGAGGTAGGCCCCAGTGTCGTTTGCGTCCGACAGCCATGGCGTCCATCCGACGTCCCGGATGATCATCCCTCCATGTCCCTAACTAAGGGAGTACCGCGACGTGTCACCGCACAGTCCAGGCTGGGGCCAAACAATGCGGAGACCCTGATGTTCGGCTCCATATGCACGGCTTCAAGTACGGAAATCGCCGTAAAGCTCCTGTGGTACTTAGTTATTGAGGATACCATCGCCCTGTTCTGGCCTGCGAGTTGCACCTCCGCCGGAGGACCTGTCGCGTCACAGCGGTAGACCTCAACACACTGGAAGTACCGCAACCTTGTAGTTAAGTACAGGGCATTTCTTGACTGCGAGTGCGGACGTGCAGGAGACCGCGGCTCCTAGCCATGGATGGAACCACATAATATGGAGATTGATATGCCATGGTCGGTGATCAAAGGTCTCACGCTCTTACGCTCAAAGCAGTCGCGCGGAGTAGTTACCTCAAATTTGGTCCGCGCAAAGAGAAATGAGGAAAGATGCCTGGCCTGAGATACGCGCTGAGGGAATTCACTGGAGGACCCTCTCAGACTGGAGCCTACCGACACAGGCTTCGATAGTCCGGACATCTAGAGGACGTAATTCCAGGTATGCGACATCAAAATCAGTCAAAGAGAGCCCATAAGCTATGCAGCGTTCATGGACCACGATAGAGAGTCCCATGCTATAGGAGCTCTTTTGCAAGGTGGTACGATATGAGAATCGGCATTGGGTACATTAGCATCATAGTGGGTGACGCACGCTACGCCCGACGCGCTTCAAACGCCTGCACCTCGCCTTGAAGCCAGCTCCACAGCCGCTCACCGACCTCGTCGTTATAGCACTCCGGGTCAGCCTTTCCAAGTCGGGCCCATGGAATCAAGAACTGCGGGACGGATAGTAAGTAACTAGACCGCGAAGAAGCGTGAATGAGGCGTACCTCGCCATTGTATTTGAGTGCCTCAGGCATTGTTCCTGCGAAGAGCTGGGTCAGGGCACCGTATTGGACCGGCTTCAGTAGCACAGCATTCTAGGAGGTGATTTGAGGATGATGAGTTGAATGCAAGCGGGAGCAGACAGAAGCATACCAAGATCACACGCGCGACTGTCGGGAAATGACGTTGGAGGTCGGTCTGGATGTTACCTGCAGTTCTCGCATGAGTACTCGGAGCTGTACAGATACAGGCAATGCTCACCCGGGTTCACGGAAATGGATATTATACCTTGATCTCCGTAGCGCTTTGCTATCTCTCGTGCGATCACAATGTTACCCTGAGGTGGATCGGCACTCATGAGTCTTATGTGAATCTTCGGAGTAGAAGGAGAGAACGTACATGTTTGCTCTGGTTGTACAATCCATTGCTGCCCATCTTTCTTCTCTCGGGGCCATCCTTGAACGTCTCGAAGTGAAGGGTGTTCAGGTATGCACCGCTTGAGGACGTCGTGACGACGCGCGCGTGGCCATCCGGTGACGTTTTCACAGCGACAAGAAGTGCTGTCATGAGCAACTCGGTGAAGTAGAAGTGCCCGAGGACGTTCGTTCCAAATTGTAGGTCGTATCCGTCTGTAGTCAACCATTCGATGGGAGGTCTCATGACGCCGCTGGCGGCAAGGACCGTGTGAAGCTAGCTATCGCAAGCTATACAAGAGGTTATGTGCGCACGCATTGTTGAACAGGACGTGAAGCTCCGATTCCTTGCTGAGGAACTCCTGGGCAGCCGCCTTCACCGAAGCCAGACTTCCGAGATCGAGCTTGAGGAAGATGGCCTCCTTGCCCGTTTCCTCCTTTAGGGAGGCGATGGCTGCAGCAGCCTTTTCTGGGCTACGAGCGGCAAGATATACTTTGGCATTGTGCTTAAGCATCTCCTGTATAATGTTGAGATGAGAATGACCACCGTGATAGGGAGTATGGGTGGCTCCGCACTTACCCTACAGGTCTCATATCCAATACCTGTGTTCCCGCCTGCGCCAAGTACAATATCAAAGCAATATCCTGATAGCCTTGTGGGTGAACGTACCTGTCACGAGGACAACCCGCCCAGAATGGTCGGGAATTTGGTCAGGGTGAAACTTGGGCTTTGAAGGGAAGCTCTGGGCAAAAACTGGCCAGCCGCCGGAGTCTTTCTTCATGTTGACGATGGGCGGGCAGAAGTAATAGTATCAAGAGGTGTCACAGAGGATTGGGAAGCTCAGTTGACGATCCCGGCATTCGACGCAGCAGGTATATATGTGTAGCCACGACTCTGCCGGCTAGCTTCGTCGCAGTGCTGCGTGGGTCCATTATGCACTGCCAGACCTAGCAAGCAAGCAAGACCTCTCTGCCTAACGGCAGCTTTAGACGGCAACGCCCACGGCAAGAAGGGAGAAGGGAGACGCAAGCCTGCCGGCAGGACAGATCCACGAGAACCAAGCCATGTTCTTGCTGAGCGCTACGCCGATATCTGGTCGGAGATACATACAGAATAGGAGCCGGACACGCCCGGAAACGCCGCACTGTATGCGCTTGAACTGAACCGTCCATGCAGGGTCTCTATCGCAGGGGCGATAATGCGAAGACTGAGAATGTACGCTGCCGTTTGATGTATTGCTGTGCAACGACGAACAGCAATCTGTCAGCCGTGAGAGCCTGGTGGTGCATGTTTGTGCCAGACTTGCACTAAATGGTTCAAGGAGGCTGATGTGTAACGGGTATGTAGCACCAACTGTTGAGCTCGTACCTAACTTCCGCATATGATCTGCGGGGCTGAGTGGACACGTTCTAGTCCAGAGGTTTGAGCTGCGCGTTGCCGCAGTGGCCCTTCGACCCACGCAGATGACGACCGAGCAGAGCAAGAATTGATGAACAGATGCCTGACGGGCGTCAGAACCCAAGTCCTGTGAGCGGTGGTGGAAGGACGAGACAGAAATCGTGTGAGTAGCGGCTGCGTCCCGTTGCCAAAGCGCCATGCCGCCGGCAGCTAGGATCACTTTGCCATATCGAGCGATACCATGTCATGCTCACTATTTCATGGCTCTACGGTCTGACCACCTCTCGGCGCGCCCACTAGTCAACCCATCCGACCCTTCGCAGTGCTCGAGCCTCAGGATAGAGCCAGCTTGCCATTATTCCAGCTAGTGGTTCTACACTTTTGTAGAGCGAACGGTGCCGATTTCGGCATTGCCTTTAAGACTTCAGAAGCAAGCTTTGCGCCAAGAAGCAGGGAGAACCAATACAGACATAGCATAGGAGAGTCCTTCATTAACTCGTCCGGCTAACATGGTGTACACACGACGTCTATTGTCGGGACTCGAAGGCATTCACCTCATCCTCCAGCCACTTCCAGAGCTGCTCGCCAACAGCGTCATCGTAGGCTTCCGGGCGACACTTGCCCAAGCGCGCCCATGGAATCAGGAACTAAGGAATGTCATCGAGCACAGTCAGAATGCGATTGCAGAGGTAAGAAGTCTCGACGTACTTCGCCATTGTAATTGAGCGCCTCGGGCATCGTGCCAGCGAACAGCTGGGTGAGGGCGCCATACGGCGCAGGGTAGAGCAGGAGCGTATCCTGATGTGGTTCAATATGCTGTCATTAGGGAGAGGAGCGCTCAAGCTGTCACTTTGCGCACCAAGATCTTCCGTCGTAATGATGGCACATAGCGTTGCAGTTCGGTCTTGATATTTCCTGCGTAGGGCCAGGGAGCTGTCTTTGTCCGGATGCTAGACTTGTGATGCTAAAAACGTACCAGGGTTCACGGAGACCGAGATGATGCCCTTGTCTGCATAGCGTTTGGCGATTTGGCGGGCCACGATGACGTTCGCCTGGTGGCGGCATGCGCAGTCAGTATTCAACATCATTTTTATTGCAGGAAGGGAATTGAAAGAGCGACTGAAAAAAACCACTGACGTGTTTGGTTTGGTAATATAGCGCTTCCGTCGAGAGCTTCCTCCTCTCAGGCCCATCCCTAAAAGTCTCAAAGTGGAGTGTCTCGAGGTACGCCCCGCTAGATGCCGTCGTGATCACTCGCGCGTGGTGGTCAGGAGAAGTCTTGACGCCGGCGAGGAGGGCTGGCATGAGTAGCTCGGTGAAGTAGAAATGCCCGACCACATTCGTTCCCCACTGCAGATCGTAGCCATCCTTCGTGAGTTCGTCCAAAGGTGGCCACATGACACCACTATGAAAGATGTCCAACGCAGGGATATGTCGATGCAGCGCGCATATCAGAACCATGAGACTCACGCGTTGTTAAATAGTATATGGAGTTCAGTCTCCTTGCTGAGGAACTCCCCCACCGCCTCCTTCACAGATGCCAAGCTCGCGAGATCGAGCTGAAGGAAGATAGCCTCTTTACCAGTTGATTCCTTCAAGGTGGCGATGGCAGCATCTGCCTTCGCTTTGCTTCGTGCGGCGAGATAGACTTTCGCATTGTGCTGAACGAGAGCCTGCGCGGGTCACGAATAATTAATAAGGTCTGAACGACAAGCGTGATCTAACTGAGGGTAATCAGCCCACCTTGACAGTTTCGTACCCACAGCCAGCGTTTCCACCTGCGATTGTGATGTAGGTTTGCACATGCTCTGTTACTGAACGTGGCTTTGCACGCGACACGCACCAGTCACTATAGTGACGCGTCCCGTCAGGTCCGGAATCTGGTCGACGCTGAACTTCGGCTTGGGCGGGTACAGCTGGGCGATTACGGGCAAAGCTGTCTGCTTGAAGTTGGAGTAAGCTGCCCCCATGGTGGTTATGGACCAAGACTGGTACGGTGAGATAAGCTATAGTTGTCGTCAGACGATTGAGGGAATCGGACTGTGGGATCAAACAGACGAACCGACAGACACCGAGGAAAGGGATAAGTACTGTACGTACGGGCGCTGTTTGACTTCCACTACTTTCCACGGTATATGTATCAACCCGAAGAATCTGCTCTCTCGTAGCGATGTCCGGTCGGAAATCCTGGAAAAGCACAAGGCAAGCATCGTAGCAATGTCCGATCGGAAATCCTAGAAGAGCGCAAGACGAGCATGCTGAACCCAGTGTTGTCATTGACCCGTCAGTGACGGGGTCGGTCGATGCGTCAAGTCAAAGGGTCA